AAGGAGATTACCTGATATGATATGATACGTCGATGAATATGAAGTGGTCATTTCTTTTAAAGCCATGTGACTTGTGACATGTGATATGAAATTGATTTATATTTAAAGGACTAACATAATTTTAATTGACTTTTGTTTGGTCTAAATGCCTACAAGACTTGATAAAAAATATCATAAGTAGCCATATATTCTACTTACTTATATCATGATTTACATAAATATTAAGATTGCTTATAAATATGATATATTTTGAAGTACGTGATACATTGAGTGATATACATGCATTGATACTGTGCAATATCCATAAAACAAATGTAGAACACTTGCTTGATATGACAGGTATACTAATATGCATTAGATGGCATGCAAATAGAAGTAAAGTATATATTATTTTTTTTTATTATTTTTTTTTTTAAACCAAACAGCTCTTATATAAATACTAAAAACAAGAGTATACAACCGTAGGTAGGGAGAAAAGGAAAAATAAAAAAGAACCCAATAAAAACTAACGACACAATCAAACGGAGAGAAAAAGAACCCCAAGAAGGGCTCAGCAAAATGCCGAGGCTCCCAGCATCCTCGAAAGCGCAAGGACCATCCAGAAATGGAGAGAGACACCAATGGTTGCCACAAGGTAGCCAATGAGGACACGAGCCCCAGCAACATCATAGCCCGTCAACCTCCAATCCAAACCAATCGCAAACCGAGCAATCGCAGAGAAAACACAAAGATGGACAAGAATTATCTCTTACGACCACCTCTCTTCCAAAGTTTCCCACGAGGAGCCTTGAGAGGTAGATCACTAACCATATTGAATTTGTTACCAGGGTCTGAATATGAATCAGAACCGGATTCATATTCCGACGAATTGATCAACCAATCACCTTGATCCCTAATGTCCATTTTAGTAGTAACACCCACTGTTACAGGAACATTAACCAATTTCTGAGAATTGCCCAAACTGCCTTGCGCATCCGAATTTACTATCTGACCACACACCAGAGGTGCCATACTCAAAACACTATCTCGTGGCCCACCAAAATCCTCCACAACACCCAAAACAGGCGAACCTATAGCACTAGTCTCAGCATTAACAGGACAAGAAATCAAATTCGTTACCAAATCAACAGCCGTAGATTCCTCACCCGGAATAGATTTCTCACCCACATCCCTATGACCGAGACCGTTCAGCACACAAGACGGGAAAAAAGGCATAGCATCAGAAGACAACGCAGTATCAGAAGCATCCGGGGGACTATCATTCACAGCAACTTTCATTATATTAGAATTAACATTATCCAAATTGATAGAGACATCCAAAGCAACAGGTGAAATCGAAGAAGTCTCCATAGAAGGTAACACAGCTGCAAAAGTCTTCAAATCATCAACCTCCCCTCTTTCAGCAATCTCACAAGAAATAACCTTATTACATACAGGCTCAACCGGAAGGGAATCATTAATAACATTTAAAACCAGGGGATCAGACGGGGCAACAACCCGCTCCATTCTCCCGCCAGCCCCCACCGCAGACAAATTTGGGTGAAGAGAAAAACAACCTGCTTTAGAATGCCCCAAAGACAAACAATGACCACAATATTCCGGTAAATTCTCAAAAACCACAGACTGCACAAAACCCGAATTTTCGGGACCAACCCAGATTTTATCAGGTAATTCTTTTGACACATCCATTTCCACCAAAACCCTCGCAACCGATGGCCAGGATCCAGTCGACGTAGCACTATCCGTTTTTAAGGGATTACCAAAAATCTTACCCAGACCATTTAGAATACGCGAAGCAAAAAGATGAGGCCTAAGATTAGGAAAAGAGATCCAAACGGGAACCACAGGAGATTCAATTTCCACATCTAATGTATGAGACCACTTAATCAATTTCATGAAGCAATTATTAACGAAATATGATCTATGCGCAAAAACTCTGCAATAATCCAGTTCATTGAAAAATTTAATCAAAACGTTTCTCTGATTAAGAACCGTAACAGAGACCTCCCCTTTTAGTTTCAGATTAAAAAAAAATTTCCTAACAGCATCCAAAGATGGACGACTCGCAGGAAATTTACCCACTAGGGCAAATTCAAACGAGGCAGCTAAAGACTCAATTTCCATCTCCGAAATCCATAAAGAAGGCATGCCTTTGAAAGAAGAAACCTTTAGTTCAGGAAAAACCAAAGAAGTAGAAGAAGTACCAGACAATGCTTGTTTAAACGAAAGAGGCGAAGAGCCTGAGAGGAAACCAGGATCCCGGAGGCGAGAAGACGCCATCGAAGCCAAAGAAAGAAAAACGCAAGTAAACTGACGGAGAAACAACCAGACGCACAAAACCCAGGCGGACGAGCGGAGGCGCCGCCAGAGGGATTTTAGGGCGAAGCCCTAAAACCCAGAGCAGAGACGCACGAAACCCAGAGCGGAGGATTTAAAATTAAGTAAACATGCATAGATTCATGAAAACTTGTTGCATTGTATTTGGCATTGGTATAGGAATGACATAATATGCTAATCCTTTATATGGTAACGAATCACTAATTTCTTAGTTATATTGCTTATATTGATTCCCAATGCTTATATAAATTGATACTGCTTATATTGATTGTCATCTATTCTTACTATTACATATTTATGCTATTCCAGATTGAATGACTAAATACCTATTATCTTTATTGTTTTGCATAAATAGTAGTTGTAGGTTCTGATAATCTACATAGCTACTAGCTCACTTAGTTGTTCTAATATTTTAGGTCCACGTAAGGATCCAGTGGAGTAAGACTAATCTATTTTTAAAATTTTAGATTTATATTTGTATAATTTATATTTTATTTTTTTATAGTCAGAATTATTAAAAGATAGAATTATGTATTGATTGGCTCAATGAATTATAATGAATAATGATTATAGTTAAATATTTTGATGGGCATGGTTACTTCTATTTGATTTTATTAAATAAATGAATTTAGTAGCTCTAAAAGATTAATTAAGAGATGAAATAGATAATACTTTTATATTTAGATATTGGTGTGTGATACAAATTATGATATATTGACAATGATTATGTACAATGAACTTATAAAAGTCCTCATCAAGTATGTGCACCAGCTTAGGATGAATAACTCCTTATAAAATTAAGGAAGAAAATGCAAGTGAACAATATTAATATTCCCATATCCTAAAATATAAGCAATGGTAACTTAAAAAAATTACATTAGCCATGTCAAAAAATACTTGCTTATGAGCTCCGTATTGCTTCTTCATTTAATCATTTTTAGTACTCTCTTCCTAACCAACTAAACATATCTCTTTCATTGGTTTGGAATGACTTTATGAGCTACTACTATCATGTATCTAATTATAGTATTTTGGGTTGGAGCAGTATTCTTAACTACATATCCCTTGTAATGCATGACGTCCCTCCGAACCCCTTGTAGTGTTCTCTCCCATAATATTAAAAAATTTTAAACTAAAATAAAAGTAGAGTCTTCCCTTCAATTTTTGAGCATTATAGAATATGCATCTTTAACATGTGAGAGCTTGTCTTTGACATTATAATAGAAAACTCCCAATTCTTTGATAGCATCTAAGGTTCATGAACATATGATATCTCATGCATGGTAGATTCTTTTTGAGTGCATAAAATAATTTTGAAGGAGATTATTTCCCTCAATGATTTCAAATTCGTTCCTAATTATTTAACCTCCTACATAGTATTAGTTCTCAAGACTTAAAATCATGTTTGCAGGTGCAAAATATATATAACGTTGTTTTCCTAATTTTTTTAGTCACATTAAGAGCTAATGGCCAGACTAAATAGTTTTTTTTTCTCAATTATATACCTAAGGGTATGGAGTAAAAATAAATATGAAGATGATCATATTATTTCTTTAATCTTCTTCCTCATCTATTCCCTTTTAATAATTCCGTTCCAAGTGAATAAAAGTCAACTCTTCTCTTCTTGAATTTCACCAATGAAGTGTCCAAGGGGAAAAAAAAAAATCCTTCTATTTTCAAAGAAGCAAAATATGGCAACCATTGCATGAAGATGGTGCAAAACTTCTATAAGGATGAGCAAAGTTGCTTTCTTCAATTTTTGAGATCAAAATATAAGCATATTTACCCTCAAGTCATTTTTTTTTGCCCCAATAAAATGTATATACGGTCAAGTCGTTCAGAAACTTAAGTGCTGTTTTGCAATAAGTAGGATTTAATTTTAATAGTAGTAAATCATGTGTATCCATATTTGTTAAATACTGGATATGTTAAATCCTAAAAAACTATTTTACAAGATATTTGTTAAATCTTATTAAATTTCGTGAAACTGTTTCACAATGTAATCTAAGATTGAAGGCGATTAGTTTATTTAAAAATTAAATTTATCGTGTTTTGAAATGAATTTGCGTGTTAAATATGAGTTACTTATTAATTTCAATTATAATTAATGTCACTAAGTTATAATGATAAATTGTATTATTAGAAGCGAGCTTAATTATCAAATAATTTAATTACTAGTTATCAAATTACTTATTTAGGCATTAATTTAAGAGGTACTTGATATCAAATTAATTAGTTAATTATTTTTTGAAATAACAAATTATTTAAGTAATACACCTACTAATAATACAATTAATTATTTAAGTGTTATTTAATTAGTTTTAATTATTAATTATACTACTAATAATCTCATTAATCACTTAAGTATTCTACTACTTATTAATTATTTATTAATTTTAATTATCATTAATAAATAATCAATATAAGTAATATAATTAAAATTTAAATTAGTTATTAATTAATTTGAATAATTTATTATTTTTAATTAATTTTATTTAAAATAGTTGAATTAAATTAATTAATTTCTATAATATAATTCTCTGTCAATGCCTGCCAATTTCAAAAATTTATCTCTCGCGAGAATTTATTCTGTGCGGAATTCGAAAGGATGCAAATGTGAGTATATACAGTATTTATACATACTATATATATAAAAAAATCTACAAATTTATACTCCCACGGAATAATTTCTCCTCCCCGTTTTGACATAGGCTAGGGTTTGCTTTTAATCTTCTACAGCTGTTCGTAGCTGCTCGGCTTTGCCCGCTTTCACGTTTCCGTGAGAGGTAGAGTTTCAACGAGTCGCTAACAGACTTCTTCGCCTTCTTCGACGACGTTCCTTTCTTGTCGGATCGGAAGTCAGCTCGCTGTTCTTCTGTTGGATCCGAAACAACGACAACGGCAGGGAGCTCGCTCGTTGAGAAGGTAACCAGTTTCTCCCTTTCTCGCGCTTCTTCGGCCAAATCCCGTAAATCCGCTGAACTACCGGATTTAATACATCCGGATGGCGAGTCGAAATACTGTTTGGCAGGCTAAATCCCGCCTAAATCCTGTTGCCAAGCAGCCCCTTAGAAAAATCAAACAGGGGAAAATAAGTTAACTGTACCACAAAATTTGTGAATCAGGACCCAGGAGTATCACACGGAAACACTAAAGTGGCACAGTCCAGTGAAACACGGAAGAAAGACAATCAAAGAGTTCAATATGCACCACAAGCACATATGTCCTAACATTCTAAGCCAATATGTCTCTTCTTCGGATGAACTCTACGGCGGTTCGTTCCTATTAAGAAGAGGGGGGGTGATGGAGAGGACAAGGTGACTCGTAGAGATAAGACTATGTCAAGTGCACGATTTGTATGAATAGTATATAAATCTTGAGAGATCTAATGCAGCTGAAAATGATTTTCTGGTGAGTTGTTTTCAATGTTCCAGCGTCGGCAAAAAGGGACATAAAAATAAGAAGAAATTAGATATGGTGATGCATAAAGTTTAGATCAACTGAGCTAATGGTGATTAGGTTTTTTATTTTAATATAGGTGAAGGAGAATTTTTGTCTCATGATAACTATAATTTAAAAAAAATTAATCTATTATTTTTATTAATAAATATCTAAAAATTCCGTTTAAATTAAAATATAACTAGTCTCATTCCTTTAATTTTTTATCATTATAAAATATACATCTTTAATATGCGAGATTATATGTCCTTTAACATTTGATAATTATACTACATATCTAATTGTAGCATATTGGGTTTTAGCAGTCTTCTTTACTAATGGTTTCTCGCAGTGCACGATGTCCCTCTTAAGCCCTTATAGTGTCATTTAACATCATGTTGTATTTCATTTTGGTAACTAAAACATACATCTTCATCTTTGACCATAAAAAGAATTTCAATAAATATAATATTGTGCTTGTCATGATAAAGGAGGATACCATCTATAAAAGTATAACACAAGCTTCATATATCATCTTTGTTAGTGCATTTCATAAATGTATTTTTAAGTTTTATGTTCTTGAAATTCTTATCCTCGTTGAAGTAACTCTATAATAACTATACTTCTTTTCATCTTCTTGAATTCATAATCAATTATGAACTTTTCAAAATTCAATCCCATCATTAAAGCAAACTTTGTGATCTTGAAGGCCGTGTTCTTCTCTCTAATGTTGAACACAACAAAGTACTCATCATTCTCATCATCATTAACTATCCTTAGTAATAACTGATGAATTAGGGCACTAGAAAATTATTTTTGTGGAACTTTAAATAAGTGCTCAAAGGGAGATCTTTTAGCCTTGGCAATGAGGTAATTAGTCTCGAAATTTTAAATTAGTTTCTGCATAACTCCCTTGGCTTTGTATATGACCTGAGCACTATAATGCCACTCAATTGTCAATATTAGATTATATATTTGTATTCATAATACAACAACTCAAATGAGTAAATCCTAAAAGAAGTGATTCAAGGGAAATAATCATCTTTGAACCACATTTGACAATTATTAAAAATTCTTAGATCATGATTAAACTATCTTTAACAAATAAGAATAAGCATACTATTATGATCAACCTATTCAATGATTCTTCATAATGTCTTCAACCTATGATTTAGCAATTATTAAACTTGATGCATTATAGCCTTATTTGAACTTACTAGAATATTTTTCAAACATTTATTCGAACCTTCTTCGACACTTATTAGAAGAAAGTTTGACATGATTTATTGATAATCGAAGTTTTGAACAAGTATTCAAATAAGGTTTGAATAATGCTATAATAAGTCAAAGTTAATTAGAATATTGCTAAATTGTGGGTTGATAATGTTATAAAGACTCATCAAATATATTATTCATTTTTGAAAATGATTGAATGAGGTTTGAATAAATTTCGATTATGATTTGAAGATGATTAAGATTGTTCAATGGTAATTTAATTATTATTCTAACATCAAATGTGATTAGAAGATATCTTTAACATGACAACTTGTACATAAACTGAAGTATAATGGCCAATGGGTTTAGGGTTTATAATACTAAGCTTATTTTCCACTCTAAAAGATAAAATGAAAAATATCACTAACATTTAAAAATGATGAACACTCAGTCAGATGCTTTTTTGAGACTAAGACTTTGACTTGATGTCATACGTAATCATCTTTTTTCCTAAAAGAGATGAGCACCATGAGTTTTTATCAAATGTTAAAGACACACACTCTCACATGTTAAAAATGCATATTCTATAATGATAAAAAATTGAAGAGTTGATGACTTTATTTCTATTTTAGTTTACATGAAACTTTTATACATATTTTTTAATAAAAATAATAGATATATTTTTTGATATTTTAGTTATTATGAGTAAAAAAATTTCTTCTCCTATATTAAAAAATTGCAATGCTAGAACCGATGACCTAAACTATAGACATCATCATCTCTAATTTTCTCTTGCTTTTCTATCCCTCTTTTTTCGATGCTGAAAAATCATAAAAATTTCACAAGGAAACTACTTTCAACTGCCTAAGATCTATGTACTATTCACACGAATCGTACTCTAGATATAGCCTTATCTCTACGTTACCTTGCTCTCTTCTTCACCTTCCATTTTCTTACTGAGAACGAATTGTCGTGAGTTCATCTGAAGGAGAGACATGTTGGCTTAGAACGCCAGGGAGATGTGCCTTTGGTGCATATTGTATGGAACTCATTGATTGCATTTCTTTTGTCGTTTACAAGATTATGCGCCACCATAGTCTTTTCGTGTGTTATACTTTTGGGCCATCTTGATCTACAAAATTGGGGGTACTGATAACTATTTTTTTATTGTTTCATTCTAAATTTCTTTATGACTTTACCATATCTGCATTTTATTGGGTCAAAAGAAATTACGTGAAGGTAAATATGCCTATATTTTGATATTGAAAATCAAAGAAAGCAACTTAGCTTTTCTTTAGAGAAGTTATGCATCCTCTTCATGCCCAGGGTGTCATATTTTGATTCTTTGAAAATAGAAGGAAATTTTTTTCTTGGACACTTCATTGGTGAAATTCAAGAAGAGAGAGAGTTGACTTTTGTTAACTTGGAACTTTTAAAAATAAAAATGAATGAATAAAAGAAAATAGCCGAGGAAGAAGATTAAATGAATAATTTAATCATCTTCGTAGTTATTTTCACTCCTTTTCACTCCTGCTTATCTTGGTATATGATGGAGACTAAAAACTTGTTTAGTCTAGCCCTTAGCTCTAAATGTGACTATGAAAATTAAGCATATATTGTCATCCATATTTTGTACCTACATACATGAGTTTATGACTTGAAAAATAATACTATATAGGAGTTTAAATAGTTTGGAATGAATTTGTAATCAATGAGGGAAATAATCTCCCTCAAAAATATTTTATGCACATGAAAAGGATCTACCCTGCATGAGATATCATGCTCTTCAGGAACCTTAGATGCTATCAAAGAATTGGGAGTTTGTATCATAATGCACGATGGCTTAACTATTGGCAATCTTAGATTAGAAACTATCAAGAAAGAAACAATCTCAATTGATGAGATTCCCAAGCCTTTGACACTTGAACTGATATCATGGGTTGAAATCTTTTGGCCTCATACACCATTCTATTATAGTTGTAAATTGAAGACTTATGTCCTTGTATATCACTCTATTGTATTTATAAATTGAATAGGGACTAGCCGACTAGGGAGATTTAAATATTGTTGAATAAAAGACTTGAATGATACAATATTTCATCACCACAAAAAGAAAGAGGTGATAGATGCAATAGCTTAAACTAATGGAAAGAGCCCCCTTTGATCATGAGGAATCGGGGTATAGAAGTTTGCCATCTCTAAGCAGTCAGAACGGATTTTTGCTCTAATAAAAGAAATGGTAGGATCGCTTTCAATTATAAGGTGTGGCAATCTACAAACTAATGCTCAATGATGACCAATATTGTGCAGTTGCGGATGTCCATGATGCTCCAAATAATGTCGTGGAATGTGGAAGATAGCAAGAACCAATCGTTCAGCATTGATAGTCCATTATAGATATTTTATTTTACACTAATACATAATATATTTTCATCATCTAAGTATGATACTTACAAAGCAAGCTAGGAGTAAAAAAATCCATTGGTTCTACCTAGTGCTTCAATACAGGCAAGTCCCTCTATCTTAGTTGGAATGTGCGATTATCACTATTTTTTATATCAACCCGTGTGCTAATAATATGACCTTCACTATAAGCAATACATTGGTTGAAATTGGAACTGTTTAATTTGGATGTCATATTGTGAGTGCCTATTATCATTTATGTGAGAAAGAATAAGCGAGCCCCTGTAAGCAGCAGAACCAGATCCAGTTAGAGTTTTAGGTTAGTTTCCTTGCACATTTTCCTTTCCTATACAGTTTACTTTTGCTAGCTATCGCTTTGGTAACTTTGTATCTTTCTTTAGTTTTTGCTTTGACACATTTTAATTGTTGTGACAACGAATGTTTGTAATGCCTTTCCATGACCTATGCTAACCTTGGGTTGAGTGCATATGGACAGATGAACTGCTCTTTCATTTGAGACAACAGTGCTATGGTAGATAAACGCTTGCATTTTCAAGATCAGAGTTTTTGAACGTTTTGAAGAATTCCCTTGGGTAAAATGAATATTTTCCAATTTAGTAGTAGCAGAGGCTTTTCTAAGGCAGCTGGATTAGTTGCCACCTGGAGGAGTACTTTCTTACCCCACCGCTGCATCTTTTGCATCTTTAGTGCTTTGGCTTATATTTGAAGATAAGAGAGAACCTCATATTTCTCCTACTGCTGTATGCCATCTTACAAGCTTTTACTTTGTATATATCTAGTTATTATAGATGAGGGAGGGTTGTTGTGAGCTCCAAATCTCCTTCAACCGAGCAGAAGTCCTCACCACT